CCCCACTCCCCCACGCCACACCACACCACTCACCCCCCCCCCCCCCCCCCCCCCCCCCACCCCCCACCCCCCACCCCAACCCCTTTATACCTCGCAACCCGCCCCCCGACCACACTCCCACACACCCCAAACCCACACACTGACACGCGCGCAACAAACCCACACAACGCGCACAAACACAAACACAAACGCAAACACAAACACAAACACAACACACACACACAAACGCACAAAGCACAAACAACTCATGTGCACGCACACTCGCGCGCACAAGCACGCCCGCGCAGCCGCGCGCTTGCGCACCCCACAACCCGAACACCCGCGCACCCGCGCACCCGCAGCCCCGCACCCGCACGCACACCCACACACACACACACAAAAACACACAAAAACACACAAAAACACACAAACACACACCAAAAACAAACAAAAACACACAAAACACACAAAAAGCACACAAAACACACACACACACAACACACACACTCGCACGGCTTCCACAGCGCTCGCGCAGCAAAGCAGTGCGGAACGCTGGTTCATGTCCGCTACCGGAGCGGGACCGCTAGGTCCGAGGAACGTCTCACAGCTCTGGTGGCCGTGAAAGCTCTGATCCGCCTTTCGGCGGATTGAAGGGTAGCCTGAGTGACATGTAAAGACAGCCCGTGTTGAGGCGGGGCAGTGCCCAAAGGAGCCAAGTTGAGGCTTCGCAGCATTGGGATGTTCAACCCAAACTGGGAGGCGAGGGCTCCAAAAAAAGCACGAACAAGCCGAATGTCAGCAGCCAAGGTTGGTTGACCTCCGCTACCTGCATTCGGAACGGTGGCACCAAATCACACCGTTCCTCGCTGTCCTAATGACAGGAAACTCGACTTGTTCAATGCGAAGGCATGCAACCAGTTCAATCCAGGAAATGTAAAGGCCATGCTCGGCCGTCTGTGCTTCCTGATGCAGCCAGTTGATTACTGCTGCAGAAAAAGGTCTGCTGAACTGCTGAATTATCTCCGTTCCTCAAGCTGGTGGTATGTCTTCAAGCCAGTTGGCGTCCGGATCCATCTGCCTCGTGAGAGCGACAGGTGGATCTTCTTCTGATTCCTCAAACTCGGTGGTTCGTTGGTCTGGCTGCGCAAAAATTTCGGCGATGTCAAGTTGGAGCTCAACACAAAGGCTGAGCTCATCCAGAATACGCTGCTCTTCATGCGCAAACAGATCCCAAAGCTGCTGAAAAGGCCGATCACGGTGTGAGTTCGCAAACTTGGCGCACAGGTCTGCCTGATCATTCCAGTGGGCGGTCCATTCATCAGCAACATTTGCATCATCATCTGTAACATTGTGGCTGGTGATGTGAAGCACCTGGAACTGGTGGGATGGTGTGTTTGTGAGGAGTTGGGCAGCGGAATGCCACAAGTCTGGGTTGGTGGTTGCAGTTGAAAGTGGATCCGATTGGATCTTCCAAAAGCCCCGAGCAACGTAAGCCGAGTCGGTCCAGAGTGTTGTGGTGGTATTGGATCGCAGGGTCCATTGAAGTGCAACGATAGCTGCTGTTAACTCTGCTCGGTTGATGGATTGGGGCCAGCCCGCAAGCGGGCCAGCTGCGATACACTGCCCATGAGTTGCCGAGGTGACAGCCCAGGCGGCAAGCTTAGTGGAAGGTATGGAAGGAACTGTACAAGCCCCATCACTGAACAGGTGTACCTGGGTTGCCCAATGTGGTCGTAGTGCAGAGGGTATTGCGGGAGTTGAAAGAGCTGATCAAAGAATGCTGGGAAGTGTGGGTTGTCGGATGGGAGCAGTCGCTCCTTGGTGCTGACTGTGGCATGGGGCCAAGCTTGTATGGCTTGCGAGTGGCGGGCACGTAGCTGCTGAGTAGCAGTGCAAGTGAGTGCCCTGTGCTGAAGAGTATCAGCTGCACGACAATGGCGACATAGGCCATCCGATAGATTGTCGTACTTGGAGATGGATTGGCCTGTGAAGAAAGCTCCTTCTCGGTGGGAGTTGATTCGCGCAAGTTGGAGGGCCGTTCGTTTCCTGGCAGTGTGCTTGGTGATGGCATAGTGAATGCCTGTCAGCCCCTCATAGTCCTTTCGGCCGCTCAGTCCCGACGCAAGCTGTGTACACCAGGCGTGCAACACCAATTTGAAGAGGGTGGTGGTGTCAGCCTGTAGTAGATTGTGTTGGTGGTTGAGGTGGTCACGAAGGATGGGCGGTGAGGACACACACAACACACACACAACACACACACACACAAAAACACACAAAACACACACACAAAAACACACAAACACACACAAAAACACACAAAAACACACAAACAACACACAAAACACACAAACAACACACAAACACACACAAAACACACAAAAACACACAAAACACACACAAAACACACACAAAAACACACAAAAACACACAAAACACACACAAAACACACAAAACACACCAAAACACACACACACACAAACACACACAAACACACACAAACACACACAAACACACAAACACA